TAAAATATATTGTAATATGAACCTGAGGAGTGCTCGATAAATACGATCAGTATGAGTAATAATAATCGAGGACATTTATATGTGTTTGTTCGAAAGAAGTTTTTTGTGAATTCAAAAATGATACATTCGGCGGTTATATGAAAGGCAACAAGATTATGAGGGACTATCATATTTTTTTCCTTTGAAGTATTTTAGCAGGGGACAGGTTTACTATTTGTAGCTGTGATAGCTACAGTTTATAATTCTAAACTTGTAGTTATTTTAAAGGTTATTTATTGTCTTCCTTTATGTGTTTTAACCATTATTGGATACTTTAAAATGTTCTGCAACCTTACTGAAGATCTTCTGCCAGGTAAATTCTTCTGTCTCATGAAACAATGCTTAACTATGTCTAGGACCGTACACCCAATAGAAAAGGCAGCGAATTCGTTCACAGCCATTATGACAACACTTTGCCTGTGAAGTTTATATTTCCTGGCAGTTTGTCAACAGCCTAAGAATTCGTCATTTATGTTCATGATATTAGGAATTATTAATTCTACTAATACATAAAACCTCTTACATATTTAATTTAGTCTAAAACGTATCACACACATGATAATTATTCAACTGTATTATAATAAGAAATTAATAATCTTTTGGATATTGTTATACAATATTATTACTTGGAAAAACGTCATCTGGAAACAACTTATAATTTTTGCAGATAAAAGCATTCTGATATTGTTATGGTCAATTGTACTTCTAAGGGCGTGTCAGATGCGACTCAAGTCGAAAATTTCCATGTCTGACTCATATAGGACCATTGCGATTAAAATTTTAAAGAAGTGCCCAAATAATTAATGAAAAGAGCCACAAATATAATTCAAATTAGTTGTATTAATTTATACCGTTCAAGTACAGCAGCAGTACAGGAACATAATTTCACAACAAAGGAGCAGCAACAAAATAGGAATTTCTGTTTTGATTATTTGAAAAACGAAAGTATTTTGCTATGCAAGGATATATACGAAGACGGTAAATAATGTGCAACATTAAAGAATAACCGCTCACACCGGTTGAAATAATATAATTGTTTTTCGGTTGGTAAAAACATATTAAAAAAGAAAGTTGTTACCAGCTCTTTCAGTGTGAGATCCAATAGTTGTACTCCTATTGGCAACTTTTACACCCTGCGTCACTTTCTGCACATTTCTCGTTCTGTACTGAAACTGGTTGCTTCTGTCAGTGGACCAGCGCATGACAGAAGCCTTACCTACTGTAAATACAACCTAAAGCATTATCGTAGCACTGATAACAGTCTATATAGTATGCTTCTTTAATTGGTTTTATATATAAATCAGCAAAATAATGTGCAGAATTAAATTAAATCTTATTTATTACGTGATAAAATTTCCAACTTTGAGGTTATTCTTTATCCTATTTTCATTGCCAGAGAGATTATAATTGTTGTTTAAAACTAGTTACCATGGGCCCATTTCATAAAAAAAAAATTGCAGATTTGAGTTGTATATTACCGTACATGAAGAAACATACATACATATACCGCACATTACATTAATAATGGGCACAAAATAAAACGATTACATTTCGGGGAAAAATTTGTCTCCGATCATGAATTATAGTATTAGGATTAGATAGGATATCTGATGATGAGAAGCAATGTTTTAACCATCACATTTTTTCACTTTAGTTTTAAACATTACGCAGTGTAAATTGAAGATATCAGACAAAATTTATCTACTAATTTGGAAATCGTGTCAATATATAAAAATTAACCGTCCTTGCCAGGATTCGAACCTGGAACCATTGCTTAGAAACAATCTCGTGCACTGCTCTAGCCATTTGAGCTACAAGGACGCGATAGGTTTGTGAACTTCTTTAAACACTTTATAAGTTTCCACACTTAGTAACAATGTCAATAATGTATACATATTATAATATCTTGATAATTCATGTACTAACAGTTTGAGCATGAAGTTGGGAGTGCCAGAACAACAGCTTATTAAGAAAAAAATAATTGTGGATGGCTTACTGCCATTTGTAATATAATTCGTGTCAGGAATTACGTATAAAATATATTTAGCTTCTTAATTGGTAATCTAACATTAATTATATAATTTGTACGATATTGTATACTTTTGTATATCCTCATAAATTAGATTTTGTAAATTGAACCATATATTATATATATATTTGCCAATTTAATATTGAACTAATATTTTAAAATTTTTGATTTTATAGTATTAGCTTTTAAGGAGAAAATGTATACCGTTACATGATATCAACATCTTTGCTTAAGAAGGAGAGTAACACAAAGGAAGAATGTTCTAGAATAAGACATTTAATATTGGTTGCTATTCTTTTGAGTATGTTATGAATATTACGGTAGGTCATCATAAAAATACCTCTAATAGTGCAATAATTCAAAGTTTTGTATTCCCTCATGGGTATAACGTACTTATTTGTGTTAAAACTCTCATGAAACACACTCCAATCCACTCAGTGTTGCTTAATGAAATACCCTCAACAAACAAAAAAATAAAATAAAGAAATTAGATTATATAGTGTTTGCCAACTCCTCAAAATTATAGCATGGCTGAATGGAGGGGGGGGGATCAGAATGGACTTGGCCCTCCCTTAATTTGAAGAAAACAGACTTTTTGAATGTGATTGAATTGGCTTTCATTTGTTTTTGATTTTGAATATCAAATAAATGAATTACTCTAAAACATGTTATATAAACATACAACACTCTTGAATAATTGATAATGAACATCTTTAACATTTTCCCCACTAGGGTGAAGGTTTTAATGATTGATAGTACAGGTCGTACAATGTATATAAAAAATCTCACCGGTTCGTTCCCATAAGATCAGAGTTTTCAAAGTATTTTGTATATTAATATCAGTATCTTATAGAGCCTCCATTACCGTCAATGAAGTCTTGCAGGCATGTCATGAGACGAGCATACATGATATTAAATGTTCCAATAAAGGTCTTGTTTCATAATTAAAATTTATAATTATTTCTCCTTACAAATATGTTTCAGGGCTCTTGTGTTCTTTAGTTTGGGTGTAACATTGCATTACAGTGCACATTTTTGAATGATGATTTTGTTCAATGCATTAATATCCAAACAATAAATCATTTTTTTTAAAGCTATGCAGTTTTAAAAATAAAATAATCAATTTGTATGGGGAGCCACTGAATTTGAACATTTTGTATAAAATATATTGTAATATGAACCTGAGGAGTGCTCGATAAATACGATCAGTATGAGTAATAATAATCGAGGACATTTATATGTGTTTGTTCGAAAGAAGTTTTTTGTGAATTCAAAAATGATACATTCTGCCGGTTATATGAAAGGCAACAAGATTATGAGGGACTATCATATTTTTTTCCTTTGAAGTATTTTAGCAGGGGACAGGTTTACTATTTGTAGCTGTGATAGCTACAGTTTATAATTCTAACTTGTAGTTATTTTAAAGGTTATTTATTGTCTTCCTTTATGTGTTTTAACCATTATTGGATACTTTGAATGTTCTGCAACCTTACTGAAGATCTTCTGCCAGGTAAATTCTTCTGTCTCATGAAACAATGCATTAACTATGTCTAGGACCGTACACCCAATAGAAAAGGCAGCGAATTCGTTCACAGCCATTATGACAACACTTTGCCTGTGAAGTTTATATTTCCTGGCAGTTTGTCAAAGCCTTAGAATTCGTCATTTATGTTCATGATATTAGGAATTATTAATTCTACTAATACATAAAACCTCTTAACATATTTAATTTAGTCTAAAACGTATCACACACATGATAATTATTCAACTGTATTATAATAAGAAATTAATAATCTTTTGGATATTGTTATACAATATTATTACTTGGAAAAACGTCATCTGGAAACAACTTATAATTTTTGCAGATAAAAGCATTCTGATATTGTTATGTCAATTGTACTTCTAAGGGCGTGTCAGATGCGACTCAAGTCGAAAATTTCCATGTCTGACTCATATAGGACCATTGCGATTAAAATTTTAAAGAAGTGCCCAAATAATTAATGAAAAGAGCCACAAATATAATTCAAATTAGTTGTATTAATTTATACCGTTCAAGTACAGCAGCAGTACAGGAACATAATTTCACAACAAAGGAGCAGCAACAAAATAGGAATTTCTGTTTTGATTATTTGAAAAACGAAAGTATTTTGCTATGCAAGGATATATACGAAGCGGTAAATAATGTGCAACATTAAAGAATAACCGCTCACACCGGTTGAAATAATATAATTGTTTTTCGGTTGGTAAAAACATATTAAAAAAGAAAGTTGTTACCAGCTCTTTCAGTGTGAGATCCAATAGTTGTACTCCTATTGGCAACTTTTACACCCTGCGTAACTTTCTGCACATTTCTCGTTCTGTACTGAAACTGGTTCTTCTGTCAGTGGACCAGCGCATGACAGAAGCCTTACCTACTGTAAATACAACCTAAAGCATTATCGTAGCACTGATAACAGTCTATATAGTATGCTTCTTTAATTGGTTTTATATATAAATCAGCAAAATAATGTGCAGAATTAAATTAAATCTTATTTATTACGTGATAAAATTTCCAACTTTGAGGTTATTCTTTATCCTATTTTCATTGCCAGAGAGATTATAATTGTTGTTTAAAACTAGTTACCCTGCCCATTTCATAAAAAAAAAATTGCAGATTTGAGTTGTATATTACCGTACATGAAGAAACATACATACATATACCGCACATTACATTAATAATGGGCACAAAATAAAACGATTACATTTCGGGGAAAAATTTGTCCCGATCATGAATTATAGTATTAGGATTAGATAGGATATCTGATGATGAGAAGCAATGTTTTAACCATCACATTTTTTCACTTTAGTTTTAAACATTACGCAGTGTAAATTGAAGATATCAGACAAAATTTATCTACTAATTTGGAAATCGGGTCAATATATAAAAATTAACCGTACTTGCCAGGATTCGAACCTGGAACTGTTGCTTAGAAACTAAACTCGTGCACTGCTCTAGCCATTTGAGCTACAAGGACGCGTTAGTTTGTAACTTCTTTAAACACTTTATAAGTTTCCACACTTAGTAACAATGTCAATAATGTATACATATTATAATATCTTGATAATTCATGTACTAACAGTTTGAGCATGAAGTTGGGAGTGCCAGAACAACAGCTTATTAAGAAAAAAATAATTTGTGGATGGCTTACAGCCATTTGTAATATAATTCGTGTCAGGAATTACGTATAAAATATATTTAGCTTCTTAATTGGTAATCTAACATTAATTATATAAGTTTGTACGATATTGTATACTTTTGTATATCCTCATAAATTAGATTTTGTAAATTAAACATATATATTATATATATATGTATTTGCCAATTTAATATTGAACTAATATTTTAAAATTTTTGATTTTATAGTATTAGCTTTTAAGGAGAAAATGTATACCGTTACATGATATCAACATCTTTGCTTAAGAAGGAGAGTAACACAAAGGAAGAATGTTCTAGTATATGACATTTAATATTGGTTGCTATTCTTTTGAGTATGTTATGAATATTACGGTAGGTCATCATAAAAATACCTCTAATAGTGCAATAATTCAAAGTTTTGTATTCCCTCATGGGTATAACGTACTTATTTGTGTTAAAACTCTCATGAAACACACTCCAATCCACTCAGTGTTGCTTAATGAAATACCCTCAACAAACAAAAAAATAAAATAAAGAAATTAGATTATATAGTGTTTGCCAACTCCTCAAAATTATAGCAGGGCTGAATGGAGGGGGGATCAGAATGGACTTGGCCCTCCCTTAATTTGAAGAAAACAGACTTTTTTGAAATGTGATTGAATTGGCTTTCATGTGTTTTTGATTTTGAATATCAAATAAATGCATTACTCTAAAACATGTTATATAAACATACAACACTCTTGAATAATTGATAATGAACAGTCTTTAACATTTTCCCCACTAGGGTGAAGGTTTTAATGATTGATAGTACAGGTCGTACAATGTATATAAAAAATCTCACAGGTTCGTTCCCATAAGATCAGAGTATTCAAAGTATTTTGTATATTAATATCAGTATCTTGTAGAGCCTCCATTACCGTCAATGAAGTCTTGCAGGAATGTCATGAGACGAGCATACATGATATTAAATGGTCCAATAAAGGTCTTTTTTCATCATTAAAATTTATAATTATTTCTCCTTACAAATATGTTTCAGGGCTCTTGTGTTCTTTAGTTTGGGGGCAACATTGCATTACAGTGCACATTTTTTGATGGTGATTTTGTTCAATGTATTAATATCCAAACAATAATTCATTTTTATACAGCTATGCAGTTTTAAAAATAAAATAATCAATTTGAATGGCGAGCTACTGAATTTGAACATTTTGTATAAAGTAAATTGTAATATGAATCTGAAGAGTGCTCGATAAATTCGATTAGTTTGAGTTATAATAAACGAGGTCAATTATTTGTGTTTGTTCGAAAGAAGTTTGTTGTGAATTCAAAAATGATACATTGGCTGTTTCTATGAAAGGCAAACAGTTTATGAGAGACAATGAAAATTTTCTCCTTTATAGTATTTGAGGAGGGCACAGGTTTTCCATATTTAGCTGTGATAGCTATAGTTTATAATTCTTAACTTGTAGTATTATTAAACGTTATTTATTGTCTGCCTTTGTGTGTATTATCCATTCTTGGATACTATCCAATCTATTATTTTAGATAATAATAATTTATTTGAAATTGTTTATGTATATTATAACCTGAAAAAATTTCTTCTTGAAACTATAATTTAATTTTGCCCACACATTTTTTTCAAATGTTGTTTTGTCCCGCGTATTTTTAAGAGATGTTCCAGATGCGACTCTATTCGAAAATTACCATGCCTGACTCCATCAAATAAGAACATTGCTTTTCAAACTTTATAAAGTTGCCCAAATAAATAATGAATAGGGCCACAAATGTAATTTTTCTGAACTGTATCAATCTATGCCGGTCATGGACAGCAGCAGTATGGAAAAATAATTTCACGACATATAAGCAGCAACAAAAAAGGAATTACTGTAATGATTATTCGAAAAACGAAAGTAATTGCTAAGCAAGGATATATACGAAGGCAGTAAATAATGTGCAACATGAAAGAATAATCGCTCACATAGGTGAAAATAATATAGTTGTTTTTCGGTGTGTAAAAACATAATAGAAATGATAGTAGTTACCTGAGCATGCAGTATGAGTTTCAATAGTTGCTCAACCATACTCTTTTTTTTCAACCTCCATCACCTTGTGCACAATTCTGTTACTGTACTGTAACTGGTTGCTATAGGCAGTGGACCAGCGCACGGCAGAAGCCATATCTACTCTAAATACAAACCAAAGCATTATTGTAGCACCTATAACAGTCTAAATAGTATGCGGCATGAATTGGTTATGTAAAAGTTAGCAAAATTATGTGCTGAAATAATTTAATACCTATTTATTATGTGATAAAATTTCCAACTTTGGGTTTTTTCTTTACCTTATTTTGTTATGCCAGCGAGATTATAATTGTTGTTTGAAACCATTTACCATGCTCATTTCATAAAAAAAACTGCAGTTTTGAGTTATATACTACGGTACACGAAGAAACATACATATATACACACACATACACACATATTACATTAATAATGTGCATACAAATAAAACGACTAGATTTTCGGAAAAATTTGTCTGTGAAAATGAACTATAGTATTAGGAATACTTTGGATATTTGATTTTGAGATGCAATTTTTTTAACCATCACATTTATTCAGTTTAGTGTTTAAACATTCCGCAGTGTAAAATAAAGAAATCAGTCATAATTTTTCTACTAGAGTGGAAAACATGTCAATATATAAAGATCTACTGTCCTAGCCAGGATTCGAGCGTGGAACCTTTGCTTAGAAACATTCTCATGTACGGCTCCAGCCAATTTTTTATATAAAAATAAATTTATTATCACACACGATATACAAAGGCGTTTACCCTTAACCTATTATATACAGTACATATTCAACCCACAATATAAACAACAACAAAATACTCAATACAATATATAAACAATTCTTACATAGGGACACAAAACGATATGAACATTTGGTGTAATTTTTTTACTGACAGCCGATGAACACATAAAAAATTATTTAACGTGAGGTGCAGCGCACGACGTACCCCCGACACGTGACACTGATATATAACACTACCACCTATCGACGATTACTACTGGAACATAAAATTGTACACTTGTATGGACCGAGGGGTGGGCAGCGCACGGCGTACACCCAACCTCGGCAATATATACGCACTTCCTGTAGGCGTGAACGTCAGAATGAAAATAAAGAATTGCCGTACGACTGACGCATTGTGCCACGCCGCGCCATGTTCCACCTATCTTGACGAAGAAGCTGGACAAAGTCTTGAACTGTCACCGGTTTCGAATGGTTCACTAAAATACAGATCACATGAAGTACAAACCAGGCCGCAGCTCTTCGTCGAACTGAGGGGAAGGTGAAGAAATCGCAATGAAGTATGTGCGTGTCGCTGACATCTCCACGTTCATCGCGAATCATTTTTCGTACTCGTACCCGACACCATTGCCAGACAGGAGCTGCATAAACACAGGAAATTACCCTATGAAGGGCCGTGTCGGTGTTGCCACACAGCGGGCATGTAGGGTCAGCTGTCAGGCGAATGCTGTATTTAAGCTGCTGAGTTGCCACGATATTATTGTAGAAGCCGAATGCTGCAGCTTGAAGATCCGAGGAAAGGTTAGTATCGGCAAGTATTTTCCATGGGCGCCTCCAACGGATGGTTGGGGTGCGATTCACAACAGATGGTATGACAGCCAACGTTTTGGAATCCCGAATGTACAAATATCTCGCTGATGTGACTGTCCCTTCCGGTAAGTGTTCTACTAGAGTTGCGAGTGTTTCCTTTGCCTGACGGTATTGAAGTGGCATGCGTCTAACTTCAGACCACATCATTTTCTGTAATGCTGCTTAATGTCCTCTGGGCGCAAAATTGTTGCAATTGCTGAAGACTGATATAAGGCCTCACACTTCAAAACGTGATTAATTAAACTCAGGCCTCCGTCTTGCAAGGAAAGACGAAGTTGCGGCCTAGATGATTAAAATATATAAGATTTCCACAACATGCGGCCAACAATCTGTAGTATTTGTGCACTCTGTTGACGTGGTAGTGGGAATATATGTGACACATACCACAGCTTCGCAAGTAAGAATACAATTATTAAAGCAACCCTCTGTATAATTGTAGTACGACGATAATTCATTTCTATTTGACGATAACGGAGTTTATTTATTGTCATGTTTCATATATAATGCAATATAAGAGTGGCGTCTGCGTGGAAGTATATGCCCAATATTTTCACACTTTCGGCCCTCCAAAAGGGAAAAACGTCGTCAAATGGCTCGCTGGTCGCGCAGAGCTCCAGTACGGCAGTTTTGTTAGCATTCGCTCGCAGATTAGAGAAACTGCGAAAAAGGTCCAGGCATTCTGCAGTCTCTATAATTTCTCGCTCAGAATGAACGACACATGTGATGTCATCAGCATAGGCATTTCATTTAAAGGACAGGTTCGCTACAGGGAATCCCTGCAAGCGGGGACTGAGCATTCTGCACAGAGGTTCAACGGCGATAGTAAATAAAATCATAGATAGCAGGCATCCTTGTCGAACTGAACTCTCGATCTTAATTGGTGGGGTAAGGAATCCGTTAACCAACAGCCGTGACCAAATTCCGGTACACACCATCCGCACCCACTGTACTGCATTGGCTGGAAAATCGAAATGATGCATAAAAGGAAGTAAAAATTTATGATCGACTCTATCGAATGCCTTATCCATATCAATAATACTCAAGATGGCCATTTTACTGTGTTGTATTGACGAAAGTAATTGAATGTCCCTTAGGGCAAGCACGCCTAATAAGATGGAACGTCCTGGAACTGTACATGTCTGGCCGGGACCAATAATATCTG